GAGGTCCTTCAGCCCAAATGTCCGCTTGAAAATTCTCGCCGAATCAGTGACGGTTAGGCAGCGGCCAACGATAGTACATCCATGATCGTACAGTTAAGGATTGGTAAAATATAATACTTCGCGTGCCCTTATTCTTTCCTTAAAGTAATTAAAGACTATAGTTGCATCTGTGCCGTTCACCAGGCATAAATCATATAATTGATTTACCCTCTGTATTGAATTGGAACTTGTTTGCTTCTCGTTTCTGATTACAAGATTATTATAAATGAGTTAAATGGGGGTAATAAAACGGATGGCTTTATTTATTTTTAATTCAGGTTGCTATGTTATGGAATCGTGTAAACAGTTATTACACTTATTCAGTTATTCATTAGCTTCTTCAATTTAGCACTGTTTGATTTTAATTTTCTTTCCCGGAACGCTTCTCTTATTCTGTCAGCATCAAAACCCACTTAAATTCCTTACTTTTGTTTCTAAAAGACTATTCCAATTTCCTGATTGATAAGCAGACGCTTAACTATTTTTCAAGCGTCGAAATAACATTTATTTTGTTTTTTGTTTCGCGGGCGTTTTTATCCCTCTGGTCCTTGTTCAGGTATTGAGTTGTTTGAGTTAAATGACTTGTAACTCGCACTAAACTTTTGCCAGGACCTGACTTCATTTCCGCAAAACCTTTAAAAATGTCGTTGACTTTCCCAGTCTTGACTTTCGCGGCCTAAACTTCTACCGGGAATTATTCTAACTAAAACGTTTGTAAGTCCGACATTCCCTTCGGGACCCCAAAAATGTCTGAAAGAACTTCAAGAATGGCATAATTTCTGCAAGAGTTGCACCATGTTGCGAATTTTTGGGCAATGTCATCATTTTGTGCGAAATGAGAACTCGCTTAGCCGGAAAATATTTCAACTCGTGGTTCATTATTTGAAGATTAAAAATAGAGGAAACAATTACGTAACTCAGTGGACGTTTTACCATCAAATTTTATTTAGTTTATTTTTTTAACTTGAAAGATTCTAGGACGCAATTCTTCATTTGCATCTGCTGGTGTTGTTCTCGCTATTAGGAAGCTAATCTTTGAATAATCACCTCTGATATTTTATGTGCAAAAGTCATTCAGTAAATTATCGAAATCTTATAATACCATCCTATATTCGGATGATCGTCCTCACCCGCCAAATAATAAGTAAATAATCATTTCTGTCTCTACGGCCACTGTTTTAACATTTGTCTTCGTCTCTCATTGGATATTCTGTCAGCAGCTTTCAGCTGCCGTGTTTTTTTTTTTTCCTGCGGGAAACTTAGTCAAATGGCTGTCAATTATCGAAGCCGATAATGGGGGGGAAATCTAATTACCGAGCGTCACTTGCCGATAATTGTCACTGCTGGGGTGAGAGTACGCTGAATTTGCGTGCAGTTTGGAAAGTCTTGGTGTTCATCTACACTATTCTACAGCAATGCTTGGGTACGTTAAATTTCAACGCATGGGTACGTTAAAATTCAATTGTTCCCGTGGCCTGATTATTTTCGAACGTCTGTTTGCATTTGAATGCCCTCTCTCTTCAATATTGTTCACTCATGCCATTCGGGAAAATCATATACAGTGGGGGGAAATAAATATTCGTACACTTGAAAAATCGTATTTTAATGTATGTAAGTACACAAACTTAACAGGAAAAGTGATTTAAATTATGTATAGAGACGCATAGTATTCAAAAATACTCTCAACAGAAATTAAATCTCAATGCAACAAAAAACAATGCAACATGTTCACTTTTCGGGTGAAAAAAGTATTCGTACAAAACAATAAATCCGCATTATTTTAATTTAATACTTGGTTGAATGCCAATGATTTGCAGATGCTGACGTCTCGACCAATGATTTGCAGATGCTGACTGGTATTTTATACCATTCTTCTTGGCACACCACCTTAAGATTCTCAATGTTTGTTGGGGACCTTTTCTTAATTTGAATCTTCAAATACCGCCACACAAACAACTAATTCTATCGCGTTGGAAGGAAGGAGAAAGTTATAGGAAGATTGCTAGCCACTTGAATGTTCCTTTTAGTACAGTTGCTTCGTTCATTGGACGCTTCAAGACCCGTGACAGCGTTGAAAACCAAAGACGATCAGGTGCTCCTAGGAAGATTTCTGCACGATCTGCTAGATTATTGGGACGAAAAATCCAAGAAAATCCACAGATTACTCGAGGAGAGTTGCAAAGTCACCTGAGTGCCTCAGGAATTCAAGTAACCGAACGAACGATAAGCAATGAACTTCACAGAAACGAATTAAAATCACGCACCCCAAGAAAGACCCCACTCCTAATGAAACGACATCGAGATGCCAGGCTGAAATTCGTCAAGGAACATAAGGACAAAGACTATGCTTTTTGGGAAAAGGTTCTTTGGACGGACGAAACAAAAATTGAGCTTTTCGGTCGAAATAATCGTCACCATGTGTGGAGGAAAGACGGTGAGTTTGGTGTAAGTGAGTGAGTGAGTGAGTGAGTTTGGTGTGTAAAGTTTGGTGGTGGCAACATCATGATCTGGGGCTGTTTCTCCGCAAAAGGTGTTGGTAACATATCACTTATATATGGTAGGATGAATGCTGCAAACTACCAGAGCATCCTGGAAAATAATTTGACGACTTCTGTTGAGAAATTAGAGCTACCTGGTGATTGGATTTTCCAGCAGGATAACGATCCTAAGCATACTGCAAGATCCACAAAGAAATGGTTCGCTGATAGAAATGTACACGTTATGGAATGGCCAAGCCAGTCGCCGGACTTAAATCCGATTGAAAATTTGTGGCGGTATTTGAAGATTCAAATTAAGAAAAGGTCCCCAACAAACATTGAGAATCTTAAGGTGGTGTGCCAAGAAGAATGGTATAAAATACCAGTCAGCATCTGCAAATCATTGGTCGAGACGTATAGAAATAGACTGGTGTCTGGTGAGCTGAATAAAGGGTATTCAACCATGTATTAAATTAAAATAATGCGGATTTATTGTTTTGTACGAATACTTTTTTCACCCGAAAAGTGAACATGTTGCATTGTTTTTTGTTGCATTGAGATTTAACTTCTTTTGATAGTATTTTTGAATACTATGCGTCTCTATACATAATTTAAATCACTTTTCCTGTTAAGTTTGTGTACTTACATACATTAAAATACGATTTTTCAAGTGTACGAATATTTATTTCCCCCCACTGTATTTTTGGTATCAATTTTGAAAGTTGTTTATATATTATTATCTATGATCATTTTTGATGAATACCAAAATCCTGCAACGGAAGAATTTGTTTCGTCTCTTTCATTATTCCAGAATCTCTTATTTATTTTAAGTTTCCTACAAAATGAAATAAATCGCGAAACAAAGTCGCTGAAAAATTCCCTCTCATGCCCTTCACGCCTTCACTGGAAATTCTATTCCTCATGTTATACTAAGACTTAACAGAATATCCAGCAAATCATTGTAGATGACAGCCAGCAGAAATGTAGGGCAAAAATATTTCAACAGTGGGCAAATGCTGCAGAAAATCGCACTCTGAAGCAGCCATAAAGTTCTGAGATGGTCCTGACAGCTGAGGTTTGCCGCTCCTGAGAACGTCTAAGAACTTTTTTCTAACTCCACTTCAGACACTTGAGAATCCATTAGTTTTCACAAACGTCTAGCAGATTTTCAAGTGTCCTCTTCCCAGGCCTCGAAAAGAATAGTGGCGGAGTGTAGTTGAAATTAGACGATCTTTCACTTACAAAATAAGATCTGGGACTTTAATAATCAAGCGCCCAGCGCAGAATTATTTCTTTTAGAAAAATAAGGAGTTATTCTCAGTTATCTTTGCATACATTACATTATTCCACTATTTTTTAACTATCTTGATGTTTTCGCTCAAAAATTCTGTGTGTGTTATATATACAATGTTCCGTAAGTTTGAAATGCCTCACCTTTACCCATTTTCTTAAAATTCTGCTTCTCAAATGCAATGTTGTTTCCCCATTCAAATCTTCAAATCAAATGCAAATAAATAGTCATAACACCAAGGAACTCGATTAAATATATTCAATAGAGAGCTATATGAAAAATTTACACATGTAGCATAACTTTACCATTGAAAATTCAATTTGAAATTTCTGGGATGCTGATACAGTCAGTAATTAGTATGGTCGAAAATAAAAATAAAACGTTACAATGAAATATGATAAATTTTTGTGTAATTTTCTTTCCTTTTAAATTTATAGTGAATTTGCGATTCATACAAACTAATGACATTAATAAAAGTAAATTTGTATTATGTTAATTAAGGCAGTGCGATTACTGGCTCGATAACAAAGAGAAGTTTGCAAGAACCAAATTTTGCTTTGAATGTAATTTTTGTAAAGGACTGATAATGATCGAATAAATTAAATTTATGTAGTTTATAGGTGAATTCAATTGTACTCTAATTGATGAAATTTACAGTTGAAATATTAACAAGTGAGTTCCGGATATTTTCTTCAAACTAGTGCTTTCTTCACGCAAATTATTATCAATAATTATTATCAATATTTATCGCAAATTATTATCAATAATTATTATCAATAACGTGTAAGTTACAACGTAAGGTCCCATATTCCAAAACTCATTTGACGAAAACAATAATACTAAGTTACAAAAGGGAGTGGGTTTCAAAAGAGGTTACTAACAATGATATTCGTGTCTAGTAGCCTGGTAATCAGAGTTACCCTCAGTGGGCGGCCTGGTGACGAGAGTTACCCTCAATGGGCATAGAATAAATAAATTTACTTCTACGCAAACGCACCACAAATTGAGACTAGTACAGGCTGCAATGTTTAATGTCCATTTATTCAAGTCTTACTTTGTGTATACATCAACCCTCGTCAATGTTACCGGTATCTAAATAACTGGTAACGATAGCGACCGTCAATATGATTAATAAATTATTCAAGCAATCAATAAGTAAAATATAATTACTGATAAATGTGCCTGTACGACAGCGTGCAACAGAACGTACCACGGGCTGACGGGCAGGAGTTACTTGGTGACCGTCCCGTCCCAGCCGAGCGCGAGGGCCCCGCCCGCGACGGCCGTGACGTCACCAGAAGCTGCTCCTCCCTGCTACCTGTCCTTCTCAGCGACAGGAGGCCCTCACGGCGACATCGTGCAGTTAACGTTCGAGAAGTTCAGCGTGGGCAAGTACACCGCCAGTGTCACCAGGACGGGTCAGAATAAATCCAGTATGGTCATGAATTACTGTCTGATTAAATAAATGTTTGTTACTGTTACTGTTAGTTTTTGATAAATTATTAATCATGAATTACCGTTTGATTAACTTATTCTTTGTAACTGTTACTGTTTAATAAATTATTGATAATAAATTTCTTGTTGATCCATTTTGATTTTGTGCACATTCAACTTGTGGTTAGATTATGAAAGGAATGAAATTTGTTTACAAAACGATATGAGTAAATTAATGAATGTAAGCATCAAGTAAACTAATTATTGAATTGTAGAACATTATTTAAAACCACTCCCAAAAAATTGTAAACAATGATTTAGTTATTGAACTGCAAAACTCATTACCAAGTACGATTTTGATGGACTTATTTGATGCAGTTTTTAGTTCGTCACTTTAAAATTTCCAGTTGAGAGTTGCTCTAGATTCTTTTGAAGAAAAACTGTTTACGAACAAAACAACAATGAGCTGATGAATAAATTTTAAATATCCATGAATTAATTAAATTTACAAACTAAAAATAAACAAATTACATTTTTGTGACAAAGAAATTGTCACAAAATTGTGATAATTGCGACATGAAATTGTATTTTTTTAAATAAACCAATAAATGGATAATTACTCAAGAAACAATATGCAGACAAATAAATTGCACTTTTCGTAGATAATGAAATTAATAAGTTATTTCCAAAAGAACAATAAGCAAACAAAATATTTTAATATCGTTTTACTCGGCAGGGCGGTCACAGCAGGTGCTGTGTGAGGGAAGCTACGTGAGCATCGAGGAAGCGTCAGGCCGAGGGGGCGGCAAGCGGGGGGCGGCGGGGGGGCGCTGGTGCGGGGAGGGGGAGGGCACAAATATTTTCTACAGCGAGGGAAGTTCGGTGACTGTGAAGATAATTACCGCGCGTAAGGATCAGACTCCCACCGTGCACATAAGGCGAGTATAATATACACAATGTTTTATTTAATAAAATACAGTATAATCAATTCACTATCTCAGAATTACAGACCAATACTAAAATTAGGTTGGCATTGTATATGTACTCAATTTAGGCACGATTTTGAGCTATTGATCATGGCGGTGAGATCTTGAGACGTTCAATCTTACTTCACTAGTTAAATGAGAAGTAAAAAAACCTTGAAATATCTAAATATTAAAGCTCTCCATCAACACCATTGTGTCGAATCATAACTATATTCTCAAACACCATTCATTATTTTTTGTATACTTTGTTTTGCATAATTTCCTAGCTACTTTCCTCTGTAAAATATTGAGACGATTAGAATCATTTATTTAAAAGTAACACTTAATATCAATTAGACCAGCTTGTGGGAAATTTCAGGTGAATCAATGAATTTTATAATCGAGCACCAGACTGAAGTAATGACAACAAAATGCGTTACCATGCATCCATTTATAAATTAACTAAAAAACATAGTTTATTTACCTCCGTTGCTTGAAATACAAGGCTTAAATTAATTTATTATATATAACTATATAAATTTATTGTAATATTTAATAATAACTTTATTCGCATCGGAAACTCTTTTAGGTATCGGTTCCTGTCCCGATCTGCTGCAGTGGTTCGCTTTGGCACGACAGACGAACCAAAATTTCGGGGCGAGTCAGTATCCAACACTGAGTGCAGCAAAGTTTTCCGAGGGTGTCGAACCAAAGCGTGTGTTCTTCAGTCCCCAAATTTCCCAGGATTTTACATGAGAAATCTTACGTGTTATTATCTAGTCAAAGCACTACCGGCTCCCTCGGCGCAGTATAAGCCTGTAATATCTTTAAATCAACCAAACAATCGACTCATCCACGTTGGTGACAACTCCATAGTCAGCAGAATTTCTCCAGAGGTGTTGATGCAAAGGGACTGTCCTGGAGATCACATAAGCATCTATGATGGAGGGGAAATGAAAACCCCTCTTTTAGTAAAATTTTGCGGCTCTACGTCTCTTCCCAATATCACCTCAAGTGGTCCAGAAATGCTCGTAGTTTTTCATTCCTCTGCATCTGGACGCATGAATCATCCCCCTAATATGGTTGTGGGTTTCGAGCTTCTGGCGCGGGAACTCTACAAGAGTGAAGACTCAGGATCTGACTGTTCGGTGCACATCACCAGTTTTAATGAGCAACAAGGAGTGATAAAAAATCCGTCTTACGCTATGCCTAGTAATTCATCTTGTGTGTACCAGTTCACTGGTAAGAAGAATGAAATTATTTGGCTGTACTTCAGTAAATACTATCGGCAAAGAAAATTTGACGCGAGCTTCAACAATCAAGATTGTAAAAACGGGTTAATTATTAAAGAATTTTCCAATGGAATGGAAAATTATGCAACAGAAAATAAAGTTGCGATGGGGAGATTTTGTGATGAAATAAATCCACCCGTTTGCATTAGATCAAAACACAAAAACCGCATATCTCTGCCATGTTCTGAAAAGGAAAGTTTTCTGTCATCGACATCGAACGTAAGTGTCACACAGCGATTCACAGACGGGACAAGTCTCTTTCCATTGGAGTACATCCTGCATTACGAATTCATTACCGTGGATGACTTAGATAAGATGAACGGCAGAAGTTCGTGCACGGAAAGTTATTCGTCAGCATCCTCGAAGAAAGGAACCATTTCTTCTCCCAAAAGCGTTTTCATGTTCGGCAGAGGGGGTACTCCTACATTAAACTGCTCACACACATTTAGTATACGAGAAAACGAAATTTTAAACATAAAGATTTCTCAGTTACATTTCAAAAACACACTTTGTAAGTCACCTTATGATTATCATTATGACTCTTACCGTTGTCTCAAATCTTATCCCAATTCAGCGACTTTGAGAGTAGTCGAAGAAGCTAGGGAAAATTTGCTCATTGAAGTCGGTTGCCTCTGTGATAACAAAACCGTTCCAGTGTACTTCACGTCTCATGCCAAAGCTCTCACACTAATATTTACTATTAAGAATATGTCATACAGTCAAGATCACACAGATTTTGCCTTTGAAGCCGAGTACGAATATGAAACAGCAAATGTTTGTCAAGACAATCGCATCGTCACAGGTAACTGGGGTGTTCTGTCACTCGGTAATTCTTCTTCTTCTAATCTCTGCGATTCGCTTCCGTGGAGCATAAATGGCAGCACAAATTATTACATCCACCTGAGTGTTCCTGGCAGTCATCCATCAAGTTCATCTTGCACCACCAACAACCGAATTATAATTTTTTACGAAGGACACCCAATGAAGTCTATATGTCCGAGCTCCAACACGGAAGAAAACAGAATTTCAGTTTTCTCAGCCGGCTGGCACGAGAGAGGACCTTGGCATGAACTACAACAAATATTCTTCCGATATATAGGAAGAGAACCAGGAACATATTCCCTTTTGTGGCTAGAAATAACTAGAGACCCTCAACCTCCGGCTCTTGAATCAGTAGCCATCGGTGGAGGTCATAGAATGACTGGCTCAGGTTCTTGTCCGTCCGAATGTCCCGAAATTTCGGCATGCATCAACGCTAGCTTATTTTGCGATGGAATTGCCCAGTGTCCATCCGGAGCCGACGAAGTTTCATGCCATCAGTCAAGCGTAGCATGGCTACACACCTTGGTTCTATTGGGCAGCGGGACGGCCGTAAGTGTAATTGCGGTCACGGTTCTTGGCATAACAGCCACTCATGTCATAAGGCAAGGAAAATTGAAGAAGCGGAAGAAGAAGCAAGCACAACAGCTCATGAGTCCTGAAGTGTTGCTTCCTTTATCCAGCAAAAATGATTCATATTTCTCTTCCTGACTATGTTAAACGTACGCCTCAATTTTCCGCTTACAGCCGATCCTTTAAGTAACGCTCATTCACATTTAATGTAAGTGAACAATCAATAGGCTAGAGAGATATTGTGTTGCTTGTGCTGGCTTGTAAACAGTATATTTTAAAGGCAAATGATATAGAATATTTAGTAAATAGATATTTTATACTGTATAATGCCCAAATATTTGGATGACGACGTCTCTTTTAAAGTTGACTCGTCATTGGTGGCCCAAATACTTAACGCTAAGTACTCGTATTTTAAGCTGTCGCGCCTAACGCGGCCAAACACTTGCATGAGAACGATAGCTGTGAGAGTGTAGAATAGTTACTAAATCTTTTAACTACAACTAAACGTTCGAATTTATTGTGTTTCTGTTGCAAAATAAACTTTTATACCTAAAAATAGAAAATTTTATATTGTAGTGACTTTAGCTCGGCAAAAATATTAGAGCACTGCGGAAAAAATCCAAACCAACAATTTGACCAACCTTTTTTCACGCGTTAACATCAGGAAAGCAGTTGAACCTGGTCGTCACTACCTATTTCTGTAATTAAACCTTAAGTGACAGGAAATTTGTTTACTGATTTTTTATTTATTAAATATAAAGTACATTGATCCCATTAGGTACTGAATTTTTCCGCGAAAATATTTTTAAAGGACTCGAGGTCTAATCTTTCAATCTCAATAGGCCCCCGCTCTTAATAAGAAATCCCTATCGACGGGAATTTATATTGTTAACTTACACAATAATCATGTTGGCGACGTCCTTGCACAAATAAAATGCATTTAGCGTGAGAGTTAGGCCTCTTTGAACGATTTAATAAATAAAATACTGCGCCTAGGAGCTTTAAAGTTGATAATCACAGGAAATAACCAATATTTAGAATCATGTACCTGAATTTTATCAAGTTCATTTTTCTGTCAATTATTCGTAACGGTTCAACTCCGATTTGAGTCCAGCTATTCTTCTCTGTATGTCGATAAGCTTACGTTTCATATGAGCACAAGTTAACATTTTTCAAATTGATATATATCTAAATTTATTAACTGTAGGTTGGAATACATATTCGGCAAATTTTTTAGGCTTCGCACACTTCACAAAGATAATTACGTCTGTCTCGCAGTTGTAGTGTTAATTCGATCACTCGTGAAAAACAGACGCAATATTTTTGCTTTTTTGGGGAGGGGGATTGCTAGAAACGCATTTATTGGCGTATGGGGGATTGTTAAAAGTAAAATTTTATGGTGTTATTTAGAATTTTAGAGCAATGTGGAATAAAATTTATCGGTAGCTTGCCAATAATGCTTTGTGTAAAAACGTCATGAAATCCATTAAAAGCATAAGATTCTAGTTTCTGGTTATGATTAACAGCTTTGTCTGTTGACGCATCTGGCGCGTAATGTCGCTAGATGAGGAAAACATTTCAGTGTTAAAATACGAATGTTCATCTCTAATTTAAAAGATGTTTTATTTTAAGTGCTCTTGGCAGTTAGGATAAAATAGAACATTATTTAATATATACACTCATTAACCAATTGTTCAGCTTATCATGTTTCTATAACCATAGCGAAATGCCCAGAATAATTAAGTCGCCTTCATGCGTTTATACCAAATTGCCACCAACCAAACGCTACAAGGCTAAATAGATACGGAAGTCGTACGGTGAACTTGCCGCCACTTCTTCAGCCTAATTCATACGGTAGTCATACGGTGACATTGTCGCTACTTGATCGGCCAAATTCATGCGGTACTTGTGCATGCAACATGCCAATATTCCTGTGCATTGTATGAACACTTCAATATCCATGAGGCGGAACCTGTGTTTTTTTTAATTTGATTTCACTTGCCAAACGAGAAAAGAAGATTACACAAGTTGCTTTCACATCGTCACCGTACAGTGTTGAGGTCAATAACACCTGATAGAACACGCGCCGTGCGCTACACGTTTGGCCGAGAGTCAACTTCATTCCTGGCAGACAGCCGGCCCACGTGAGCGACCCGTGAGCAGAATATTTGACAGAATATGCAACAGACTTATTCTGCTCACCCTCGTCTGCCTGACACGGGAGGGCCGTAACAAGGGTGCCACGGGAGGATCGTAACATGGATGCCACGGGAGGGCCGTTACAAGGATGCCACGGGAGGGCCGTTACAAGGATGCCACGGGAGGGCCCTAACAAGGATGCCACGGGAGGGCCGTAACATGGATGCCACGGGAGGGCCGTAACAAGGATGCCACGGGAGGGCCGTAACAAGGATGCCACGGGAGGGCCGTAACAAGGATGCCACGGGAGGGCCGTAACAAGGAGGAATTTCGCGACATGAAATTTCTTTACCATAATGAGATAAAACATGCTAATTTCTGTACTTCGACACGACAGCAAACATCAATTAACCAAAACGCACAAGTTTCCGTTATATATTATCACTTATTTTTATATAACAATTGATTATGTATCCGCAACGAGTTGAAATCAAATATAAGACCTTGCCCAAGCTGCGCTTGCTTTGGCTGCCGGTTCTGAAACGCTTCCCTGGCATGTGTTAGGCAGTTGTTATGTAACATCAAGTTAGTTGATTTTATTTGCTTGCTAAAAGTTGTCTTTGTAAAGTATTAGAGCGAGTATTTTTGTATGCAGTTTTATAATCGTAGTAGTTTTTCTTTCTAAGTAAAACTGATGAGTTACAGTGGTTTTATAACCAAAATATACGTGATCACACGTACGTTTTCTACATAGAAAATCTAGACATCAGCGAAAAACCTCGGTCATTTTAGGAAGGTGGAAAGGAACAAATAAAAACACTATAAACTCGATTCATGTATAGAAGGCGTAACAAATGCATTTTCACTCTAATAAAAATAACATACTTCTTAGATATTATCGAATATTTAGGCTTGGTGCTTTATAACACGTTGTTTTACAGCAACAAAAATTATAACAATTCAAAATACGTAAATTTTCAACACTTTGTAAAGTTTCTATATAACTAATTCTATATCATATATTTTCAAAACGAAGTTAAATGTTCTATAAAACTGTATCATTGAAATTAGCTCAAGCTTACAATATAGAACACAGGCGATAAAGCTATGCATTAGAGTTTAAATGCCCTAATGATCAATACAAAGAAAAAACCTTTGCAATCCCACAACATCGGCAAAACTCTTCAGCGCTTGAACGTTTATCTGTCCACTGCATCCTGCAAGTCTCAAAGTCTGACTTATTTCCATTGCTTTTTTCAGCGGTACAGAGTTCAGTATAAGTTATTTATATCTACACAAAAACACTAGCCGCAGTGTAGGCCATCGCTGCATAAACTGAGCACAATTAAATATTAGATTTTCCGATATTTAAGTGAGAAAGCAATGTAATATGGCTTCATAATATGCTAGTTTCAACAGTTGTGAATCTAGTAATTAAACTAGAGTATTAATGTTATAATTAATTAAATGCACAGGAAAGAATATAAATGTTCAAAAAATTTACATCTCGAACAAATTCAGATAAGTACGGTACCGTATTTCAATAACAACGAACGCACGATTAGTTAATGATCGTAAAAATGCTCTTATAAATACTTATCCCGAACACATTTTGTACAGACGAATATTTCAGAACCATCAAATACGTTACAAAGATTCACATTCAGTTATGATAAAGAGCTACGCTTTAAGTAAAATAATGAATACTAGAATATGATACCTTGGTTCAATTACCTAACACAAACCCATGTAAATGCGAGAACAATAATTGATTATCTTCATCTCTTTTGCAATTAATTAGAAAACTTTGTCTTATGAAAGATGCAAATTAACCTATTGAAGGGCCGATAGGTTCTAAAATAAAAGTGCAAAAACGACGGCACTTTCACTTTATAATAGTCCTAGTTAATGGCAAAATAATGGTAGTTATTTATCGCCTCTGCCATGTTCGTCGATAATATCTTACAGCAAAAGGCACAACCGAGAGTGTGATTCCAACACGTGCAGGAGCGAACACCTTGTGGATAGCATAAGCTACTACAAAAGTGCTAACCCCGGCAGCAACATTGCCAGCCGTGCTCAGCTTGCCGCCCGTGTGGGTGTTGTTGCTGGCGTCAGCACCAGCGATGACGTCATCGCCCTCAACACTGACGTCATCAGCAGGCGATGTCATGGCGCTAGAGGCATCAGCCGCGTCTGATAAGTCGATGCCCAGGCGCTGGATGAGGCCCTCCATGTCTACTCCACTGTCAACAGAACACGCAATGCCGAGAATATAAGTAAACAATAAAATATTATGGAATTATTACCATATAACCAGGAACCGTGTAATGAATTGGGCGACTTCCGCAAGGGGCCGAAGTAACGACTCATTTGAACTGCTAGAAATATTCATATAACAGTTATTCACACAATATATACCACAGAAAAGCTCTTATTTGACGTTACTTGATGTTCTATCGTACGGAAATACCATGAAAAATGTTCAAAATAAAGCAATTAACGATTTTAAAAGCGGGAAAATTACAGGCATGGATCCCTGTAAAGGAGAAGATAAGCGCCACGATGACCGTTGCCGCAGCAAAATTAAACCAAAGTGAGCAGAAAAGCCAGGACATTTCACGCGTAATTATAACCAGAACAGGCATGCAACTTGGCGAGGGTGCAGAAAACTATCTTACCTTGACACTAGGAGATAAAAAAATCCCAGTGAAGCAAGTGAAATGGTGACATGGAAGACGATGACCGCAGCTCCGTATTCTTTCACGGCTCGCTTTATTTTTTGCCCTGAAGTCAATACTTCGTTGCTCGTATTAGGATTCTTTTCTTTGGGATCATGAGCTCCTCCAACATTATTCCAGGTTGTTGATGATGATGAAAATTTACTTTGCTGAATGACAGACGACGATGAAGAAGATAGAAATTTAACAACGCCACTGGGACAAAAATGTTGCTGTGAGCTGAACTGAGCGTTGAAATTACCTACAGATGAGCACACCAAATCTATATATAAACGTCCTGCTTTTGTTCCGGGGTTAAGTAATGAAGTACCACAGGCTTTAAGGTTAGTGATATCAGGATACAGAGCTATGTTAGGAAAACTAGCATTCTTGTGCAGAGCAAAAAATGTGAAGCTTTCACCCAAGCTCCCACCTCGCACGGTCTCATCGCTGGAAGTTGAGGCAGCATTGGTATTGTTCTGAGATTTTGCCTTGCTTGAGCCAGAGTTCTTTGAGTAGTGGTATTCGTGCAGGTCAGATGAAATGTACTTGTCATTCTGGGCCCACTGGCCACCTGGCATTGTCAAATGACCAGATCGCTCTCCTTTGCCGTCAGATTTGAATGGTTGTGGCACATTGGTTTGCATGACCTGTCATTAAACACAACAGAATTCTAAATTAAAATAGCAATCCAAATAAAGAGACAGAATTTGAACATTTTTATTTATTTTGTGAAACAGGGATAATATTCTCTTGAAATAATACTGCAAGAGAAGGTACCATTAACTTTCTAAGCTAAATAGTAATTATAAAATCAACTAGTAATGAATTGGCCACTGTTAAAAACACATTGACTAGAAATAAATATGTCAACAACCTTTTATAACACTCACAGATGAGAGCGAACAAGCATTGCTTTTATCATAAACCGAAGCATGGAGGTCTTTGGGGCAAGTGCCAACATTGAAAGAATTTCCATTTATTGAAGAGGAGACATCAAGACCCTTGCCAAACACAGACCCAGCTCCAGCTTTGCTCAATTTGGCAGCAATGTGAGCACTGTTCATGTCACGTTGCCGATGGGGACTGAATTTCACCTGAAAATTTTTCAGCAAAACATTGTTACACAAATTCATTAGGATATATATAAATTTCAGGAATATTCAGCAGTTAATATAAAGTATAAAATATCATTCCTAGTGTGATGATACAAGACATGACTCAAGTTCAGTTAACTTTATACTGCACTATTTTTAACCTATTTAAAAATCATAACACAAACTCAAGTCACCTCACCTTTTGTGATTCTGCCTCTTCTGCCATATTTGCAGGTATTCTCAGCTTGCTGGCAGATGTATGGCACAGCTTGCAAGCATCTGCATAAAAGGATAGTGGATAATTTCAGTAATAATGCAAATGATAAATAAATCAAATACACTCATCTTAGTAGCATGGAAATCAAGTTCTCAACTGTAAATGTTACAGTTTTCAACAATGAAGGTCACCAATCAAAGCTTCATGAAGTAGAATTTATCAATTGCTTAAAAACATTCAGGAGTTGTGAGAGATTTCATTATTAATTCATCCAAGCATAAAATTTCAGGTGGCAAACCAGATATTTCTGAGAAACCAGTTTACATTAATTTCCTAATCTAGAACAAAATTGAATTTATTATCTATGTATGATATAAACAGCTGGTAACCATGATACTTCCTTCACTGATCTACTCAAAAGAGTCTAAATAAGTCTCAGCTTTGTCACTATGCAGAATGACATCCTTGGGACAAATGAGGGATTTTTTAGCTGCCCATTGATTTTCAATTTTTTCATCTATTTCAAGATATCATTCAATACCATATCTTATGATAATGCCAAAAATTCCATCCATAATACCTATTGATGTAACTGTGACTGTGAATTGCACTTGCATATATATGGGACTCAGAGTCAATAAGTATGACCAGTCTGGATTCTGGAATATTGGGCAGAATCTTTACAAAATTTCTGGGAAAAAAAAACACCTTCCCATGCCCATGGGTGATCCTTCAAAATTGTAGGCAAAAATGTACCATAGTTCTATTTTACACCAAAGAAGTTTCAAAAAGAGTGGATGAAATTGTCTAGTTCTTCTGCATAATTTTCAACTAGTTTCTTCCAGTTGGGAAGGATAGTCAACAAAAAACTCTTGTTTGCATTGATGGCCTTGATAATTAAATATTTTACACACCCACCAAAGGCAGTCTGGCAGAGGCCAGTACCAGGCTACCAGGCTGAGTTACATGGTGACAAACCAGATAGGTATTTTTTAGAATCAGTTCATTTTTAATTTCCTCATTTACTCAAGATTTAAATCTATACCTATCTTATGTATGATAATGCTGGGGTATCCATGATTCTTTACTGGTCAACTTATAGTCTTATAAGACTCAAATTTGTGCTTGACTGAAAACAATTCAGTTTGTACTTTGTAAACATGTTGACAATGCCGTTTCGTAAAATTTTCTACTTCCACAATCCGCAATACTTCAACAAACTCTCCCATCAAACTATCCTGCAGAACGTAATAACAACAAGTCAACCAGAAAACATTTCCTTGAAGATTGCATAGTTGCGGTCATGTCTTATGGTCTTAGCAGTCAGACTGCATTATCATGTGTTCAGTTGTCACTTAAGTGAATACCTACAAATGTTACTGTTGCAGCACTGTTGCTGCTTGATGACTGTTTTTAGAACAAAATTAGAGATTAGGGGTAACACGTGCATTGGTGACGGTGCATCGTGCATGGGACTTTGTAAATAAGTTTGCAGCTTGTAAATGGTTTTTCATGGCTGATAAAAGTGATATATATAGAATTCATGGCTCAAAAAAATAGAATCACTGCTGCCTGCTGGGCTGCTGGCAACTGGCAAAACCATAAACCACGGCTTGAAAAATAGAGGCGCGGCTCACCAAATATATATAATTCCATGCCTGGCCGGCTGACCCACAGGTTTCCAGCAATACAACTTTTCTCCAATTCAATTATCAACAAAAGACAAAATGTGCACCATCAACTTATCAAGCCACAGAATTCCAAATTTAGGCTATGAAGAATAATAAATCACTAATGCCAAAACATTTTAATAATTAGGTATATAATCTTGCCCACCTCCACCACAGCTGACAGCACCACCTTGGCTTGGCCACCTACACCTTGGCCTACTACCTACCTAGTAAGTACCGACTGTACCGTAGTACACTCAAAGTACAGGCTGTACAGCCTACTCCCAACTCCTAATAGGCTAAGAGCCTAAGCCTACACTAACTTGACTAAGGCACTATCCAAAATGCAAATCCAAACCTATATTTTTCTCACAAAAATCTACTGAACAAAATAAATTTGAATAGAAATTGAAGCGTACATAGCCTACTGCAGTCTGCACACGCACAGACAGTCAAACTAACAGTAAACAGTGTACCGTGTGTCGTGTTCCGAGTAGGTATACTAGTTAGTAGTTATAACTTATACAGTCTATCACGGTGAGTCAGAGACTCAGAGTCACTGCTACAGTCATCGTGAAGAGTGAAACAGTTTTTTTTCAGTTTGTACAGCTGTACTTACGCTGCGAAACCAACATTTTGTCGGCTGCAGAACGAAGGGCTGTCTGATACAAAGACATATTTCGAAGAAATTATGACAACTTTCGGGGCTTTATTATAATGATTACGCTCGTTACGGTCACCAGCAATTAAATGTTTCAAGCTGATATTATGATGCTCATTGCTCATTCAACAGCCCGCATCCACATAAGTCATCACTCAAAAGGAACATATGATATGCCAACACCGCGTTGGCCTTGACAATACTGAGGAGTGAACTCGTGAAGACGTTAAAACGACGCAGCGACAGCGAAAATAAAAGCCACTAAGACTAAGTGACCAACGACTTGGCAACGGCTTGTGTTAATAACGGCTTGGCAACACAGACTCTAGTCTTAATTTTAGATTTTCTGGGCAAGAGCCAGTATTCAGCCCAAATCTATACTGCGGAAATGGCTTGAGGTGCCAAATTTTAAACAAATTACTGCAGATAGAATTCAGCATTTGGGGACCGATGTCGACAGAACGTGAGCCATGATGCGATTTAACTCGGTCAGTCGATGCCCTTATTTTTTACTACACGTAGTAGATTGTAGCACGCTAATGAGAACTTTTCGTAACATTAGGCTAAGGCATGGTTGAACTGTATATCTACTAGTTCAACCATGAGGTTATGGTACGACTCAAAGCTCCGAGTCTATGATCGAAGGCTCAATGAAATTAGTAAAACCGTCCTTGTGAAGGTCTCACGTGATCTAAGTTTCCTTTATAATATGCAAGCTTTATAACAAATGGAAGATTAAATCAGATCGATATTCCGATTCATGCAATTTGACTGGTAGCCATTTCGCATTGGAAGGCAAATATAGCGTAGTGTACATATGTATTAGTGTCGGCTTTTAAAAAATAAGCCAGGTTTGGCCTGTCACAGATTTCTGTAATGCCTTTGTCATGTCGCCTACCTAGATATTTAAACAGGCCCATAAACAGTCAGTTTCAGAGTTGAACTTGAATTTGAGTAGAACCAACGGGCAGTTGTTGAATTCGAGTAACTACTGAACATTCATCATTCTTTAAGGTGGTAGGCACACGTATAATTCGTTGTAATCGACATTTCTGATTGTTTAGCCTCATGGAATTTGAGGATAATCATAAGAAATATTATCTTTATACATTTTTATACAGGAAATTTGAATATAAAATATATAATACACTAATCAGAACTCGAAAAATACTAGAATTACTCTACAGTTAAAAGCAATCAACGCATAACTAACAATTTTATTTAACGTATCCATGAAGTAAATATTATCGTCATGCTTTCATGTGGTACGGTTTTTATTTACAAGATTATACGATTGACACGAAAGAAGGTTGCTGAAAATTCACCAGCGTAAGTTTCCTTGGGTTTCAGGTTATTTCTTACTTGGGCCGTTTTATCGAAATTGTAGTTGATCAACGTGAATGATACTTTAATTTCAATAGAACTTAGCTGTAGACAAAATTAAATGAAAGTTATTCGAGCGCAAAAACGGTTCAACAGAACGAAGCAAGTCTCTTCTGATGGGAACAATATGGTTCGCAAGATTTATGTTTCATTTGAACAAATCACAATAACTATCCTACGTTTCACAATAAAAATATCTATTTTCTCCTCCTGCCTGCGCCAGGAACCCGTGCGTTTTCACAACCAGGAACATTCGCGGGCCAATCGCATACAGTCCCTGCAGGGTTGTATACGAGGTCCACGGGGCACGGCATGTGGTGCTTGCGGTCCCCTTCGCACATGTAGTATTTGGTGCAATCTGCCTTGTCTTCGTGGTAACTAATTATACCGTCTCCTTCGTCGCAGTTCACAACGGTCGCTGGAAAAGATAAGAAGGGGCGATTGTTTAAATCCTGTCTTGGCACAGACAAAGGTAAAGCTTGTAGGTATTTGAAAACTCTCAAAACTTATTCTGCCGATATTAAATACCATGATAAATACTTAGGAACTTTTATAGCAACATTGTCTGAAAAAAAAAATGAGGAAGCAAACTCGTGCTATTACTTCGAAATTCGTTTAAGCCGTTGTGTGAAAATGGATGTTCTATTAACCAAGACGCCACGAATTTTATCTACAGACAATATCACACTCACGGTCTTTCTTAGCTATTGTGCCGTCGACATTACGACGGTGTTCATACGGTCCCTCGTAGGTCAGAGCGACTGAGTAGTTCTGAAGTCCATCTTGAATGGTATTGAGGATGGGATACTTTGTACCTGCTCCACAGTTACCCCTGAAGTCATCCATGTCCATGCTCCACACCATAACACCGCCCAGCTTGTTGCTCTTCACCCAACTCATCTTCAGAGAAATTGTCACGGTAACTTAATACTTATTAAAAATTAAGCATTTCAGTACATTTGCCTAGTAGTAATTGAATAGCATTCATGTGCACTTGACTGATCGCTTACAACGAATAAAAAATCGTCTGTTAGATACCTACCATATATCAATCTATAATTTCTCGATTCGTTTCTAATCATTAAAGAAGGTTAGATTATTCCAGTGAACATCTTCTGGTATGTAAATTCAAAATGAATAATTTTCTGCGGGCGAATACGGACCTGGTGCATTTGCGCCTACAAGTGATGTCGTCTCCATTATTCGACTACTTAAATAGCATTTAAAAATTGAAGCATTAAAAATTACAGTCTTTATATATAATGTATAAAAATATACCTTGATGTCTATAGATCGCTCGTCATCGAAGCCGACCCACTGATCGCCATTATAAGCGAAGGGCACTTGCTGTTCATTGTCCCAGACCAGCGTCGTGTTATCTTCGTACAGGAAGTCGCAAACCTGCCACAAACATTTGGTAAATGAAATTCTACAGAAAATGTACGTATAGGTGCAAACTATAACATAAGTTAAGCATATCAAAGTTACTAAGTTGTTGCAGTAATATTCTCGGCATGCACTATGCGATATCTAGACAGGAAAATTATTTCAATTGAAGCGTAGGGTGGTTTCTGCATCAATTAGCACTATCCCACACTAATTTGCACTGATCCGCATCATTACCCACATCGCTGTTTGGCTGGGTTTACTTGCCTCGTAGTAAGACAAGAATCCTTCTTCAGCGGTGTATCGGCCTTCCTTGCCTCCCTTCACTGCCGCGGCGCCGATGTCGAATTGTTCGGGGTCCGCTAGAGTAAACGAGCGCCCGTACACTGGGATACCCATGAGCAGTTTTTGGGACGGCGCTCCTTGCTTCATCCACTCCCGCAGACTATATTCCTGGTGGAATAATTGTTGACATATGATCATTACCTAAACAAGATGCATCAAATTACCAGCGGAAATGTTAGGCAAGACTCTTCCCGCCTCGCGTTACACCAACATTAACGAGGAGGCAATAGAATAGAAGAATAGAAGTGTCGGCACTGGAGAAATAAGCCCATGGCCTGTTACCGATTCCTGTACTTTTCGTTACCCAATTCATAAGGGATCCGGCATCAGACACGCAGGATTTAGATTCGCATGAAATTATCCGGTTCACCCTCACAGTCCTTAAGAATATAGTACCTCCAGAAAAAAAATAAATAATTCAAATTTTCGAAGATAATCATCAATCATGCAGATACAAAGCCGATTTCAATAAAATTTGCTCAAGGTTTTCACAAGCGACCCTATAAGTTATCCAGCGTGTATGAATATTGCTGCGACTGGCTACTTGTGGTAAATTCTTACGACTGTGAGTTTCTTTTCATAGGAGTTGGCAGTGAGCAGAGGCTGTAGAGGCGAGTTGTGGCCGACTTCTTCGTTCCAATGGCCGTGGAAATCGTACGTCATTACATTGAAGTAATCCAGATATTTACTGAGCTCAGGCACGTCGTATCTGAAATGCACGAGAAATATTTTGGGATAACATGTTCATATGATATCCATATGTTCAACAAAGTAATATAGAATAGTATATACATTCTACATGGTATAGATACGCGCAAATAATTGAATGCTACGAGTATGTATAATGGTTTAGGAATATGCTGCTACCGCACAGAGCCACAGATTATTTTCGAGTCACAGGTTATTCGTGATCTTTTGGTCAAATCAACATAGGTAAAATAATTTTATGGAAGAAAATTATCAGTCTGATCATTGATAAAATCACAAATTTAAATTCAAGTTGATATAGCATTTAAATTGTTTGCATCAGATTCATGCACGGAAGATTTCTGGATACTGACGCTGAGCGATTTTTTTTTTTTTTTTTTTTTGAGAACAGTTAGACTAGGACGGCTAGAGCGCTAAGCACCGGCTGACACTGTCTTAGTAGCGAAATATTTATAGCAGGTAAGTGAGTTGGTCCCGCAATGACCACCAATATTGAAGAAATCCTGTGTCAACTAATCAAGTTTAGCGCGACTAATTCAGCTAGCGAAAGATTCTTAGCTTGCAGATTAGCGACCAAGTCTTACTGAGGACCAACAATATTGATGGTATCGAGCGTTAATCATACGAGTTCAACTGGACTTACCCAGCAGCGAGAGCTTCTTAGCGTGCAGTTTGGTGAGTTGGTCTCGCTGAGGACCAACAATATTGATGGTATCGAGCGTTAATCATACGAGTTTGACGGGACTTACCCAGCAGCGAGAGCTTCGAAGGAGGCAGGGACGGCAGCGGTGAGCAGCAGCCGGGGGTTTGATGTGCTCTCCGCCTCGCCCTCGTACGCCGTGCGCAGCTCCATGATGAACCGCACGAAGTTCGCCTTGTCGTCCGCACCGCTCGGGTACTGGGAGACAATAGTTCAGGGTAATTTCGATATAGTCATTTTCCTTGTACAAAAAATGTAACAAAGAATTTAAATACCACAAATGTCAATTAGAATATAATTATTTTCAATCTAGTTACTTCTATTATTTACTTTGCTTTTGAATATTTGGTTAATTCTCATGAGCACTCTAAAACACAGAATATTGTTTACCCATTACAACTTCATCTATGGTCAGCCATTCCAACCAACCGCTGTACACTCGATAATGAAGAAACCTAGGGTTTGACGACTCAAGACTAATAGATTATTTCAAAAAATGTGTACCGAATTGCGACAATAGCGATTTCCAGAATACGACCATGCACTCTGCAGTGAATTGTTACTAACACGTTATGTTATTTCAGACACTAGGGGACACGATAGTAAAAATTTATTCAGTACCTCCCAATCAACGTCGAGGCCATCGAAGTTATGTTTACGCAGGAAGTCGATGGAGTCGTAAACAAAGCCGTTCATATGGTAAGTGTTGGAGACAAGCTCCCTGAAGGGCTTAGAGCCAAATGTCCAGCCGCCAAGAGCCAGCAAAATCTGCAGGAAGTCCAACAATGTTCATCTCTAGACTCAATATCAACACTCGCGTAAACACGTTAAGAATTGTTTATTACCAGAATTATATTCTTACACACAATAGCCGACTATCATGGTCAATACAGAACGGGATATAATCACGGTCAAGCATCAGCTTGACCGTAGTCTGAGAAGTCCAAAACTCATAAGGTCATAAGATATCTGAGAATTGCATCAGTGACTTTAAAGTATAAAAAGATTAAAAATGAACGCGTTTTTTTGGGACTAAAAACATATGGTTCCGAAATCAAATTTCTTTACTACATTATTATAGGGTCCGTAGTTTAATCATGCAAAAAAAGTTTGAAAAATTATCAAGTAGAATAAATTCGGCAATTTAAAAGTTTATACAAATTCACTTGCCTTGAGCTTTGGATTCTTTTCCTTAAGAGCCGTGATCCTCTGATACATTCCCATTTTCCTGCTATCTCCCAGATCAGCGCGGTCCGCGGCTGCCATCTTGTAATCCTTCATGGTGGCGAAGGCATAAATGATGTGCGTGCATAGGAACGGATCCAGGTTCTCTGGTTCAAACCTTCCGGCCCCCGGCCTCTTCACGGACCACGAGGTGTAGTAGCACACCACTTTTGGGGTGTCTTCTGCAAACACTAGGCTTCTTATATAAAAATGTTTTCAATTATACTGTCTTTTGTTTAGATAGTAGTTGCAAGGGCTTTTTCATGTGCTCTCATCTGACTAGACACTAGAGCGAACGTGCTTGCAGCAGATTTTAAAATCAAACTGGAAGTTTCACAGATATCATAATCAAGTTCTCTAGTTATCATTTCTTTATACCCGATGTGTTTTACGGTTTAAAAATAAGTAGCTTTCACGATTTTAGAAGAATCAATTCGAATGTTAACAATATTTAAACCAACGAAGATGAAAAAATTACCAGAAATATTTGCTCATCGGACGGTGCAAAAATTTGTTTTCAACTCAACAAACTAATTATTTTAGGAAAGAGAAGAAATCATACGCTATACATGAGAAGGAACACAATTTCGTGACGCAAACTCACGGTTGAGACTATCGTCCACAGTATCGATTCTGGGTATGAGCTGAGCTATTTCTTGAGGTGAGATCCGCGACACGGTGGGTTCAGGGAGGGTAGGCACCACAGGCACAACAGTCTTGGCGACTTTAGTCCAGTCGACGTCTGTGCCTTTACGGCTGCGTCCAAGCAGCATTTCCCTAGAAGAAACCAATTTTAAGGCCTATATCACGGCATGAAAACAGTCATGAAAGATCATGGCGTGAAATATCATGTTCGAACCGATTAGACGACGAGCGTTTTCGTACTTTATCTTATTACAGTCGAATGAAAAACGGGAGCCGCACTTACTTCACGTAGTATAAGATCTACCTATTCATCTCATTGACCTACCTACGCCGCTCTCAAATGCTAGTTTTACAATGAAGGCTGTCTGGTAAAACGCCAAAAAAATCCCGGAACAACTGTGGAACTATTAATTAACAATATGAAGAAAAATAATTAACTGAAATAATAAAATTAACCTGAAATTAAAAAACAATAAGAAACCGAATTCAACGTAATCGATTTATTTTGTATAAATCTAGAGAGCTCGAATTCTTTCGACCTAAAATGCGAGGGGCAAGAACATTAAAGCTAATATCAACCAAGTCGACAAAAGTCAAATCCTCCCAAACTTACGCCATGATGCTGATGAGTGGGAATTTAGTTTTGCCACCACAGACTTCTCCAGTGAAGTCATCCATATCCAGAGTCCACACCATTGCTCCACCGTAGCCGTTGTCGATGATGAACTTCATCTTGTTCCTCATTGCCCTCTCGTCGTCAAAACCTACCCATAAGCTGCCTTTAACCATGTACGGAACTTGCATTTCTTCGTCCCAGATGTACACTCCTCCAGACCGCAGATGTTCACACACCTACAATTTCAGGCACAGATTTAAAAAAAAAATACAGCGAGTGATTAAATTTCCCATCAACGGTCAAATCTAAAATCAGCACCAGACAGCTAAATTTTGATATCACAAAATGTACAAGTTACAGATAAATAAGAGGTTAATTAATAATAAATGTATCCAATGATATTAATTATTTTTCCTACAAACTCAAAAAATACATAAACCCTAATGAACTGTACGAAACAAAATACTATCAAAGTAAATTTTTGGCGAACATTGTAGACTAAATTCGTTATTAAATATAAAAAATACATCAAAACAAAATAGAACTACTTGAAAGTAAATATAATTAAAATAAAATTTCAAATAACATTATGAATGAAAATCCAACTACCACGTTATGAATGAATTAATTTTACTACCTCGTAGTAAGACATGAAGCCTTCCTCTCCGGTGTACTTGCCGGCCTCGCCGCCGCCGGTCGAGGGACTGTTGACGATGTAGCGCGCAGGGTTGGCCAGGGTGAAGGAGCGCCCGTACGTAGGCATGCCGATCACAAGCTTCTCTTTAGGGGCTCCTAAGTTCGTCCAGCTGTCGTAAACATTGCTTTTAAATATATAGACCATGTATTCCTATTTAAATATGTACGTGTTAAATATATCGAAACAATCTACTCAATAAACATCACGTTTTATTTATTTTTTTCATTTTGAGCGTGTTTGGACTATAGTAAAATTTACATTTTGGCACTATTCATAATTTCGATAAAAATAGAGTATTTAGATGAACAAAGCAATTAAATTTTTCAGCATCAGTCGTTTTTCAGTGAACGCACATGTATTCAAATAGTATAGTTTTTTCGTTAGGGAACACTATCAATGAAAATTGATTTACATATAGTTCCAAAATTCAGAAAAAAACTTTAGTCAGGTCCATGTTTGCATAATACTTACCTTTTAATTAAGCATCAAGAAATTAAATTTTTCTATAATTTTGTAAGCTGGAAAATAAATTATGCGTATTTATATAATTCATGAGATATAACCAAACCTAAATATTGCATTTGTGAAATTCATATTAAAGTAACAGAAAAAAGACAAAAATTTACTAATTTCGACAAAATACACCACTGACATTTACAAGAGAAAACATTTGGCAATTTCTAGCGGGTTCCCCACTAACATTCTAGCGGCATTGGAGACGGAGAGTTGCTTGCGGTATTCGCTGTCTGAGGAGGGGGCGTACATGGGCGCGTTGTGTCCCACGGTGTTCTCCCACTTCCCGTGGAAATCGTACGCCATAACGTTGAGAAAATCTAAAAATCTGCGAATGAAAAACACCGATTTAATTTCTGAGCACTAGAAAAGTGAACAGTTCTCCTGAAAGTAGAGTTAACAAAAATTGTAGGTCGTGTCTACTGCACAAATGTCAAAAATTTCAAATAACTTTCAACTACAATACAAATTTCCGTGGAAATTTGCAGCAACAATACAATCGTCTTCGATACTTTTATTCTTCGGCGGTGATCATCTGCCAGTTCACTCGAATCCTTCACGCAAATAATCATTTTCGAATTTTGTGGTATTTACCAATCGAAATTTTAAATTGCGTGATCCAAGATCACATATCAATTCTCTTTCGTCGAATCTTATATCGATTCCAGAAAAATGTGCACTAATTGAAAATACATCTGTTGGCCTTAGTTCGCCTTAATTGTAATGAGAAAATTTGCTCACTTCGCAACTTTCGGGACGTCGTAGCCGCCCCTGATGTTGTCGGGGCCAACGGGCACGGCAGCCGTGAGCAGCAGACGCGTCTGGCCCGTGGCCTCCGCCTCTCCGATGAAAGCCTCCATCAGTTCTACGTGACAGAACAACTTTAAGTTGAATACGTAACATCATAAAAGAAAAAGGAACCTGGTCAATAAATTTTGAGATCGACTAACTGTAGAGAACAAAAAAAATTAACTTAAACGCAGGGCATGAGTGATCCTCTTAATATTACGAGAAAGGATTTCTACTGAAACAATTGTAAAGATATTCTCGTGAAATTCACTCTCAACTGATTTAAAACATTACTCAGTCACACAGGATAACATCTTATCCACGTGTATAGAAAGAAGCTCGGACTGACCTTCAAGAAGATGGACGAAATTGGCCTTGTCAGTGGACCCTTTAGGATATTCCCAATCCAGGTCTAGTCCGTCAAATTTATGTTTTCTGTTGCAATAAAAAATTGTTAGAATCGAAATAATACATTAGAAAACAAGTGTGATGATACACCCATTAATGTATTTGACTATTAATAACATATTTACTATACATTGAGAAATTTCTTGATCTCGTCGCATTTCATTAAATATATTTACAAAAATATTCGCAAACCTCAGGAAGGGAATGGTGCTCTGTATGAAAGTCTGCCGATTGTAACGATTCGACGACATATCCTTAAACTTCTTCGTGCCGAAAGACCAGCCACCTTTAAAAAAATGTGCAAATATATGAACATGTGTACAGTTAATACGTGAAAATTTCTTCAAGAACAAATTTTGAATCATTATATTCATTCACACACATTATCGCACAGAAGCGTCTTCTCGTTTAAAGAAATCATTGAATCACAGAACAAGCCATCGACTAAGCTGTGAACATGGCGCGCGTGCGATCTTACTGAGTTTCCATGCCCAGGAAAGTGCGATAGAAATGCACACTCAATAAGATTGCGGCAGGAGAAAAGATTTCTGGCAATGTCGCTTGCAGAGAGAAACCGGACGGTTTCTCGCATTGAGGTCAATATCACACGGTCGTGTTCTCTCTGTCCTACTCAACTACGCCGTATGGCGGAGTTTCCTTAGCGCCAATGACAATGAAGGCGCTACCAGTCAATTACCATGGAAAATCGAACGGTTCATGAACCGAAACGTAGTGAAATTTTTCGCGGAGCTACGCAATATATAATCTATAAAGCAATTTACTGCGAGCTTGTCTCGCCTACAGATTCTAGCAGTTCAACATCGAGCAAGTAGTAAAAATTTTGCGTTATTTAGTTGGGCCTTTGAATTCGAGTATCAATACTCGGAATTTCATGCAAATCATATTAGTATCATGAAAAAAGTCGACTGTCTCTACCATAGGTAAGTATTTTTTATTGTATTTTTCCGCAGGCAGTTTATACAGTTCATAAATTCCATTGTATGAACGTTCCTATTTACATTTGAACACTAGCAGCTAACCTCATTTCAAACAGTAACTCAAATCTGTATCGCGTGCAAGAGTTTGTGTGGCGCAAACTAAGGAAACTGCAAGTGGTCAACGAAGGTAAGAAGTGCGATGACCTGACGACAGCGAGGCAGGGGTCTGGTAAACGACCTCCAAACAGCGCTCGGAGCTTCCGACGGCCGGGCGGAGCTGCTAGTACTTGCGCAAGCGCATCATCGCAGCCCTGGCTGACCCAACCATTCATTTCCACGGCTTGTTTGAGAAATTATGTGTCACACCTAACAGGTTCCGTTCACTTCTACGAGGTTGAACATTTCAGCGTTCATTTGGCGAGTTGTTCATAACGAAATTGCTACTGAAATTATCTCTTATTACTCATTCTCGTTCCATATTCATTGTTGGTCAAGGTTATAGCTAAAATAATTCAATAGGTAATTAATTCAAGTAAGAACAAATACGTCTGTCCATTGATATTAGAATAATTGGCTTCCTTCTCTACTGGCCACATTCATTCTTCCAGCGTGTTTTTTCAAGCAGTCAACTTTGTCTACAAAACATTAATATATGAATGGAAGATTTTACTTCACAAAATATTCATTGCATTTCTATAATAATTTTCTCCCCTTTATATATAGTCTCTAATTTGTTTGAAACTTATTTTCCCCATCTGTATCAGGAGTCAAAAAAATTATATGAATGTTATTAATTGGCAGTTAACTATAAAATAATTAAAATAATTCAAGATTCCAGCCAAACAATACTTCATATCCAATAATTAATCATTTATCTGCTATAAACCCACCAACAGCAAGCAGAACTTTCAGATTCTTGTTGATGTTCTTGAGCGAAGTAATCTGCTCATATTGGCCTATTTTGCCGTCTAAGGACAGATCATTAGCATCGCTTGAAGCGATCTTTCCTTTCTTCATCCAGCCGAACGAGAAGATGATGTGGGTACACAGGTGTGGGTCGATGTGCTCGGGGGTAAACTTGCCAATTTTGGTCCTGTATTGGGCCCAGTTGGTGTGATAGCAGACAACCTAGAGGAGAAATCGAAAGTGAGTTTGTCGCAGACTGGAGGTAGTTGGGTATATTGAACAGAATGTGACGCCGACGGAGGATATATTACCACCATAAATGGTTAATACGTTTCGTTATATGGTCGCACAGAGAGATACTACTAATCTATAATACTGACACTGGTAATTTGTAATGAAGAATATATTAAACATAATAATACTCATTACTATACATAATGTACAAAACCTTATACTTTATCAACTCTAATCCATAGCAGGTATCAATGATTAAAAACAAAAAATTTCAACAAATATGAGTGCTAGAATACGCGAAAACATCAAATGAAAGCATTTATTTCAAAGTCATGCCGTGCACATTACTCAGACAATATTAGTACTACAGAGTGTAATGAAAGAGCTTCTCTCACCTTGTAGTCGGTGGGCTTCTGCTCCGGCCCAACATCGTTATCAATTTCGTTGCCTGTACTTCGGGACAAGGAAATTCTGCTTGTGGCTGCAGGGGTAATTCTGCGACGCTGAGGAACAGTAGAACTTGCAGGCTTTGCGTCGCCTCTTCTTCGCTGTACCTGAGTAAAATGATAGCATTCAAGGAATTATCGGGTAACATTTAATATAATTTCAATCTCTACCATCCAAGTTGAAAATTGACCAACCATCCATATACCATACTGATGGGAGTCTCCAAATAATAAAATAAAACTTATTTTATCTACAACACTAACAATAATTACAATGCTAGTATCGAATCTGGTCTCTAGAATCGAGAGTATGGCGTATTATATGAATGAATTTTTTCATTTAAATAGAGCCCCACTTGACTCGATGCTTTGGCCTTGCCTCATTAATGAACAGACTTCGGTTGTTGTAGGAGCAACTAACCAAGATTTTCCGAGTAATAGCGAGTATACGAGGCTCCATTATTCTCATGACCTCTTCATAAATCTGACAAATCTTGCTACGCGCAGTGCTCTTAATATCTACGCCAAAGATTTAGCAGCTAGTCAGTTTCTGAGTTTGTGAGAACCACAAACACGAAATCGCTTTTGGCAAGTCGCCGCCAGGCTCAGCCTCCACCCATACATACCGATTGGCCATTAATTTTCATAGAGATACTCATGTTACTAATACACCCTATGCACCAAAATATAAACTATAAACAACCATCAAATGCTCAAAATTCTTTGTCCCGATTGCTGATAAATAATTTTATAATCTCAGCCCATACCCTCACTTTGGTCCCGGATCTAACAGAAGCTGCAGTTCCTTCAGAAGCTGCACTTCCTTCAGTAGTTGCAGCTCCTTCAGTAGCTTGGCCTCTTCTTCGGGTAAGTCGCTGTCGTGCCGCCACAGGACGAGCAGGAGTTTCGTCAACAGCATCTACAGCAGCTGCTTCATCATCCCTGGCACCCATCGTCGCAGCTGCCGGCTGGAGTCGTAGTCTTGGTTGTGCCAAGTTAAACGCATTTGGTCTAGTCTTCAATTTGAACCGAGATCGTCGTAGTGATCTATTTGTTGTAGTTTCTTCTTGTGGATTACCTGGATCGCGAATAGGAAAAATTTTATAGAAGCGCCAGCCATCAGTGCAACTTTTAATCTTTAATATACAGTAATCAAACAGAATAAAATTTGATCGTACAGATCAAGCCTATTCAGATGTCACTTTACTATTCGATTGAAATTCACGAGTCAATGCTGAATCAATCTGTTAATTTGTACAACCCAGTTGAGGCTTATCCTTTTTATTGCGCAAATGCTGAACCGAATCTTCTGCGCCACCAAATTAGAGAAAAGTTGAAATTTTTCCTCTTAGTTGATTTTGAAGAAGACAATCATGAACAAAAAACATCATTAATGAACAGATTGATGTAAGACTAAAGTTGAAACAAACTTCAAAAAATTAATCCACAGAGTTAATACGCAAACAATTTAACGGTCTCGATGCTCCAGTTTTTCAGAATCCTATCAACATAATAAAGAATTTAACAGACATTTTAGCTACTGCTTTTTCACAACAAATTTTCGAACAATTCCCTGCTTAAAGGATAAATTGAAAAAATATAAGTCCCCATCAGTGGTGGAGTTGTAAGGCCTTCAACATCCACGGTCATATCTCCATTTACTGGAAATAAGTTGTTCGAACACGCAAGACACGCAATTGTTTTATGCTCGCCGCTGGGATAAGAAACGTCCACTGGCCTCTTATCCAGTCAATTAAGTTGCAGAATCCCGGTTAAGAGGTTTGTCATGTATGTAAATACGCCACGGGCGGCATCAACCTTAAAGACAAACGCTGGATGCTCGAAAAAAACATTTATCTTAAAAGATTCCGCCGAATGCGGTCGCGAGAAGAATCTTATTCCGTGTGTTGCCCACCAGACGGTCTACGAAGTCGTACAATCACGGTCATGCGGTCAAGCAAGTGTTCAAGTGAGGGGTCATGTGCGCCACCAATATCAATGACCAACAATGAACGCGAGATTCAAAGATATAGGCTTGGCAGCTTGCCAAGGTGTGTAAATGCAAGCGTCAGTCAGAGTCAAGGGCAATAGAGCAAGAAGTTTACTCGCTTCATCACAGTCAAACGCGAACCATGCTACTCAGTACCTATAGGACTCCAGTTCTAATGAATATAATCATACTGATCATTAATTTGACTTTGGTAATTAATATATTCATAATGCTTTAAAGTTGAAGGGTTCTGCTGCAAAGCTAAGGGTAAACTTTAAGTTTAAAATTTTAGTAAGATGCCGTTATTTGTTGAAGCGCCGGCGTTGCAAATAAACAGAACATTATATTGCAGTGAAATCTTTTAATTATGCCAACATTTTCCCCAAAGTTTACTTGTGAGACTTTACTTATTGGAGGTGACGTTTCGATCAACGAGCGTAAATTAATTTATTGACGTCACATTTCTTAACAGCAAAGTGCAGTCAGTGCTCCTTAATCTTCCATGCATGAAGGAAAGAATACTTGCCGGAACGATCAAGCGTCGTTGCGGGGATTTTATATGCATTGCTTTCTCTGAATGAAGCGGTAAAAGCAGTTTACAGTTTTAAAATTACTTGCCGCCTTCCAGTAGCTTCCGTGCGTCCTTATTTTTTAATTAGCACTTTGTAATCGCACATCCGGAATGAAAAACCTGAATTAGTAAAAATTCTTTCGTAGAATGAAGCACGTTATTAAAAAAATTCATCTAAACAAAATTCTCAATTCAAAACGTACTAATTATATTCTTTCCAAATTTCGAACATAAAGAATCTGAATCGTTTAACACGCTAGTTATTTTTCATGTCCATGCAGCACATTGAACTGGCGCTAACCCAGCAGCATAAAATGGCCGCATATATTCACCATTTCCTATTAAACCAGTTATATTTGCCGATTTTTCTTCGTTAATTGAACCCCAATTCACTGCAACTAACCATTCCAAGTAGACCTATAAGGCCATTTCAATTTGATCAACTGATTATAGTCATACTACGATAACGAAAGTACAGTCAATTTCTAGTAGACGCGGCGTGTTTGACAACTTCCATTCAAACACGACAAACCTGCGCTGGCATGCAACCACAGAAGAGGGGCTGCGTTCGGCCGCAGTTGCTGAACGTTGGTGCGGCGGCAGCAGCAACCTCGTTACTTTCACTTCATTCTTATAACAACACTTCGGTCTGACGGACTGCTTTAACTGACCACCCCTTGCTGGACTGTCAGCTCTAATAATGAACCCGCCAACCCGTGGACTATATTCTTTACGGTGTTATTAGCCGTTTGCGATTTAGCATACAATTATAATGTAAAATACGAAACCAATAACAATTGAATCTACACTCGACTCTACACAATCTTGGACGTGGCTTCACGGCAAACTTTTTCGTTTCAATGAAGGAGACTCCTATTGTAAACGCTGCTCAAGTAGTAAAAACCCTGTTCGTGAGAACCAACAGCAAGATTTTGTAGACAACTAAAACCACAGGAGAAATGTCTGGTCTTACGAAGAGTTTTTTATAACAAGATTCACTCTGATTACACATGCGCTTGAGATTGAAAACTCAATAGCAGGCTATAAAAAGAAAAATACAATGAAAATAACCGTAACTAATTTTTTTTGTACCTTCAAAGGGTTTAATTTGGATCTACTATGTCACAAGCAATAACAACAAATTTAAATAATGAAAATGTCCGAGAAAATTTTTCATTCCTCAGACAACTCAAAGATATTAGATATTATCTATTATCATTATTAGATCTAGAACTCTGATACATTAGATCTAATGTATACTTCTTTACGAACGTCGAGTTTAATGTAAGGAACACTTACCAACTGCTTGGGAGAGCAACGCAAGGAACAGAGCTGCTAGAGGCAGCACCAGTAATCTCTGAAACAAAAGAAATCGGATAAACATTTATTTCTAATTTACACTCAAATTTCCTTTTCTTATTTTTCCAAGGAGACAACACAGCACCAAGTCTGTTACAATGTTACATGTAAATCCCTGTTTAAAAGCAATCCAAGTTACATGAATAATCCGAATTTCAGGACATTTTACGACGGTAACAGAATTTAGCAACAGAAGTAGGACGGTAACGGAATTTAGGAACAGAAGTAGGACGGTAACAGAATTGAGCAGAAATTTCGCCCTGCATCAGAGCAGCTGAATTTAATAAAGCAAGTAAATGTCTTAATACAAAGACGTGATCGAGTCCTGGTCAATAAATACATCGCTAACTATTAAATAAAAAAATTCACTAATATTAATACACGTTCACTAAAATTAATACACGAAATAAAATCATAAATAATAGCATGCAAACGCTAATTAAATGCAATAATTTTCACATTAAAAAGCACGTTCAAAACGGAGTCTAGTAGGGGAAAGTGGGACAAGAGTGACACGTCACTTATTTTATGTATTTACAGAGACTATATCCTCGTTTTGCCACATCAATCAATGCACTAGGTAACTTGTGTCATTACTACCTTTAACACTCTTTTAAATATTTTAGTCAATGTATGAAAAAATTTACGGATCCAATTAAAGATCTCCATTCCACACTGAACCCCACCTTCCTTACAATCATTCAACCAGATTAAAAAAATTAATTTTTATTTGGTTCGAGGCTTGCGTACGCAGTCTCCTGCTTGCTTGAAGCAGTCACGATATTCGATCCTCGTTAGCGCCGCGCAGTTGCAGAGTCCCTTCAGGCGACTTTCACTTCTAAGCAACAGACCGGAAATCTTGCAGCAAGCTTTGCAATTAAATCAGCTAGCCATTTCAAAGACCACACTGGGCGGAGTAGAAATGAATAGTTTTATTTGAATATTCCATTCCTTCGCTTCTTTCCGTTCTGCGTGGTCTCTGCACTCTGATGTACTCGATGAATGCCCTAGTATATAGGAGGAACTTTCCATGATGTAGCATTCTGAATAAAATTCTGAATACAAACATTTACAAGGGCATTGTATTGACCTCTGCTTGGACTGACGTGACTGAACAACACAAGTCCAGCTTTCTCCGCGCATAGCTGCTCTCGTTCTCCAACGTTATCAAGAACTGTACATGTTCGTGCACTCAAGTTCCTTTCTTAAGTTAATGTTCGAGCATCTGCCAGTGCTAAGACTGGAGAAACTTGTCGTCTGTGCACAGCCCGGAGCAAGAGAAACCGCCGTACCTACAAACGAGCCCGAGAAAGAGAAGGATGCTAACAGAATAAGCCTCGTCTCATGTTCATCCTGACTAAACTAAATCGTTTAGTAACATGGCGGCACTATATCGTTATCCAGGCATTCTTGATATCGTTCCCCATATCCCATCATTCCTTATAAGAGCAATAAAACAGCAAGAAGTAGCGAGCTAATGTGAAAATCTGAACTGATTTTCCGGCTGTATCAGGGGTACAAATACTTGTTTAGCTGATTTTGGAGCATAGAAGAAATACCAAACCATTTAAGAGATGCTAATCGGGTCTCATTGACTGGGAACGACGATACTTAACAAGAGAAATCTTAACTGTAACTTAAATCCTGTTAGTGTGGTCAGCAGTCGTCACGCGCACGGAAGAGCCAGCAATGGCATTCGTGTCTACATTGCACCCTTCATGGCTGAGGATAAATTCGTAAAAAAAAATCCACACAAAAACTTGGCTCACCAGGAAGGAGCCCCAGGATTGTGCCTCGGGGTAGCCGTGTCTGTGCCTCCATGCCCTCCTTTTAGACTGGTTTGAACAACTGCGCTCACTTTTACTAAAATGAAAAGCACAGATATTGCGACGAAAAATTATTCCAGTAAGAATATTTCTGCATTAGCAACATTTTATTTCACGCGTGTCTGGACAATGTAAACGCATGGCAGAAAGAGCACATTGTGAATGTCCAGCGAAATGAGATGAAATTCCTAAAAATCTATCATCTTCGCTACCACACCAGAATCCAAGTTAAAGTGAGAGTCTCTGCCTTGAATTAATTAAATGACAAACCCTACACTGTATTAGGCCGAATATAAGCTACCCCGTTACACTGCGATAAAAGATTTCGCAAAGTTTCATTATGAACCAGCGTGGAATTTCATTTAGTTCTGCTTGACCGACCATGCCAGCGTGACCATGCAATTTTCCCAATTATTATAACAAATGAATACATAAATACATCAGAGTGCAAGAATTTAGCTTCAGTGAAATTATAAAATCAATTTTTTCGTTCTCATCGTATTGCCTATTTAAGTACATCCACATAAATTATGAAGAATTTAATGTAAATCAGACATATTGTCTGATACTTATTGAATAGAGAGTATAGCAACGATGTTAAACGATTTTTCATCTGCCGTTAACAAGCTACGAAGTTCCGTGATTACATTCAAGGTTTGAACAGCCGAACGAGACGCGCGACCTTCGCTCAACAATGTACGGATGTTCGTCAGTTTCCTATAAGCTGCAGGTGAGGCAGAGGGCCTGTATGTTACCTTATTACGTACCTTATGTTTCTCATTTACTATTTTCATTCTTAGTCTTTTACAGATCACACAAAAAATCTGTGAATTTGTTTATAGGAGAGCTCACATAATCCAATATTCAAATAAGAAACAGGCTGGCCAATGGAACAAGAGTGATACTAAGGAATAAGTTCGTTTTCTAATCTGTCATCTATATACTTGGCAGAAGAATATATTGTTAAAAAATTTTTCATTTACACGAGCATAAACTGTTATATTCTGTATCAACAAATTTAAGGCGAATTGCTTAGAGCCTCGTAGACATTTAATTCACAGTGACTATGTTCAGTTTGTTTAGGACTCCATCTTTAACTACTCGTACTTCAACAATCAATTTTAAATTTAGTTCGGTACTTCTTTCATAGCTGCAACATCTCAACAACCTAAACAAAAATTATTCTTCGTTAATCTGTGTAGCTTTGGATAGTCATGAAGTTTACTCTCTAGCAATAAATGATCAGCATGGGATAAACTCTAGTTATACCTCTTAGTAAGAATAATATCAGATTGAGTTCTAGACAACTCAAGTAATTCAAGAAGCGAACATCATTTCACGAATGTGATTTATTTATTATTCGCAATTCAGTAACCGCAACCATTGCGCCGAATACTCTACAGTCAATATCGCTACGAGTCTTTGACGCTTTTCTTTATACCTTGAAATTAGGGATAGGCACTGCGCCCGCGGCCACTCAAGCACGGACTAAGCGCCATAGCAAAATTTTTACAGCAAGCTGAGGCTCAAACCCGCAACTCCTGCTCCCGATTCCGCAACTCTATGCGATTGACCGCTCTTCTAATAAGACTACTAATTAGCTATTTGTTTGTATCTTCGCACTTCGCACCGTTATTGTTCTGCACTAATAAAGAGATAGCTTGATTATGTAAGAGGAGGAATCGAGCAATCTAGCAATGAGGGGAATTTTTATCTCTATCCGAACATTTTTCTAGTTTCTCAAAAATTTTCACACCAACTCGAGTGATTTTATCTCTCACATTTCAACACGAAGTCTTTACATTACAAATTTTCCAACAACTAGAAGCAGAATCCATACGAAACGTACACATTTATTAAAGGATGATAAAATCATACCACGTCGTTAGAAACACATTTGTGCGTACAATAGATTACTGAAGTTTATTTTTGCCTGGATATAAAAGCAAGAAGCTTGAAGCCACCGGTGAGATGACAACCAATCGAGGCGTGTACAAGATCATCAGACCAGTTGTCCTTTAGCCACAGCTCGCCTCCAACTTGATAACCTTCCTTAAAATAAGCCCGAGAGGATTTACCTGCTGGTTAATTGCCTCGCGAGACCATTTGCAACCGGGAACAAAAATCGTACAGATATTTGATACGAGACGTTTGCTTACGCTAATATATTTTATGGTACTATTCTACGAATGATAGCAAGGATCAAATCTACGCAAAATTAATCCTACCAATACTTGCATCACAAGCGAGCCGTTCAAATTAGCAATCGTAAGCCATGTAAATTTATTTGTTCGTTTCTCAGTTGTGTTAGAAGCTGTCAAGTTTAGTTTCAAGGATGTACCGTGAATGATAGTATAAAAAACATGTTGACATTGAACTACGCTTGCCAGCAAAAGTTACGTTTGCAGACAAATATCCTGCACGAAACTACGGGAATGAATAGTGTATTTCAGGGTTCGAGTACATGAATTCTTCGAAAGAACCTTTCGCATAAACACGCAACGATGAATATGTTGCTTAAGGATTAGGAATTTACGCGGTGACAAGGCATGCACCTTGAAAGGTGTTAGAAACTGTACAAGGCTACATTGTTGTTCAATATTTACTGCCCACCTCAAGTGCAGTTGAAATTGGAATTATTTTCAAGCGTTAACATTCGCGCGATGAATTTAGTCTAAATCGTTTTTACTATCTGCTATTGCACGAGCTGCACGCATTACAAAGAGGATGTCTCGGACAAACTTGACTTCATGAACGGTTTCAATATTCATGTGACCCAGTGCAAAAGATAAACTAGTCGCGCGAGCAAAGGCGCATGTAGCAGAATAACATGTAAGTAACCGTCCTCTGCAGTGACTACAGTTCAGATAGTAAAGCAATTCCTAGCAAAGTTATGTTCAACTTCACTTGACCATACATTACGCCCACACCTCCATAAGCCTTGAATGGTAATATAGACACGGCGCATGATGTGGCAGTAATAAGACGATCAATTATTTACGTCATACATATGGTAAACCTTGAGTACCTGTCACCACGGCCTCATGCTTCCTTCGTCGACTAAATCATAAGATGCATGCACCTTTACTACTGCGATGAATGTCCTATATCCGAAACTGACTAAATACCTGCTGTAGTAACATGTCAATCATCAAAGCTGCCTCAATGCAACAGGATTCCTCAGAAAACGTTCAATGATCGATCAGAAAAGGCTACCAATGCGCTCATGAAATGCAATTTGTGCATTCGCACGTCAACATTAGCATGAAAATCGCTTTGCGAGGAAATGCCTAGTCACACGCACAGACCGCACATAGTGTAGCGGAGTCCACTTTCTCACCACAAAACGCCTTGCTCGGCAAGCCATTTTGTCACGACCTTCTACGTGTCGCGCGACATCATTTCATATTCAGTCGATATAAAAATTTTATAGTTATTGTGTGCGTGTCTCATACGCGACATAGCACTCATAACAAACTTACAAACGATAAGTAACTTGCAATGGTCTCGAACCCTTTATCGTAGAGATGGTTTTAGACACTGAAAAAATCTCGACCTAACCTAACTTAAGCTGAAACGAAGATTACTGAGAAATGTTAATAGTTAAAATTTCTACTCACCATGACTGTGGGTGCTTAAAGACGACCTATCTAAAGAAACACTTTTTAAAGTCTTTCCACTGCTACCGTGCAAACTAAAGCTAACTTCTTCCGAAATATAGTGAAAGTGCCTGCGAAAAAATGTCAAAATTTTAAAACATCACCAAATAAAACTTATAAAATATAGGTAGCCAAAGCTGGCATCACATCAGAGACACCAGTTACTGAGGGGACAATACACAGCTCAGAAATATCACGCACGTCACTGCTATTAAAACACAGTCACGAGACCACGTGCACCAGAGACGTGCTACGGCCGCTTGCTCAACGCACTCTGCGCAGCTTTCGACATCGCCAGCGCAAGCCAGACACCGAGCACGTTGCCGCTGCGCGCGCAGCGTACGAGGGTAACACCGCTCGGTGTTCTCTAGAATTATGTGTGTGTAACTTACAGCATTCAAGTTCTGTAATTATCGGAATTTTTTATTAGAAGTTTACATGCATGCAACTAATTTTTTAAAAGCGTTATATAAAAAAATTATCAGGAGTAATTAACTATAGCTTTGACGGCACTTTTGGTGCGGATTTCTGCAATCGTAACCGCACCTAGGAGATGCGAAAATTATTTTTGCAGAAAGTGTTGAAAGTTTTAGAAATAGTACAGTGCGTCTACACACGAAACTTATTAAAGCAAGTCACTTTATCTATATATCTTTCTTTATAAGGCTTCATCTTTATCTCTCGTGATGAAAATCCTTCATTTTTTCGTATAATATACGAAATTCGAAAAGTAAAAATTCCTCATATATACTACTTCTATTCAAATTTTCAGATATATTCATCCATTGCTATAGGATAACTACTTACGTTGTGCGTTGAAGTTTCCAGCATGAAACAGCTTCGTACAAATTGTGGCGGGTAATTTCTATTATTAGTGAACAATGTTTCCCCTTCAGTTCCCTACTAACTATTGCGAAATGGATATAACAGGCATCTATGAGTGAATTAATATCCTTGAATATAAAATATAAACACAACGCAACCAACTCTTAAAAATCATGTTCTCATGACCAATTATTCCTAAAAATCAATTAGCATTGCGGCCTTTTAACTCTTTTCACTATTGCACATTATTACTGTAAATATTTTATACTGTGATGACTTCGCTATACTTTCCATACGTAACACTCTCGAGTACCTCTGAATTTGTCAATATTAATCAGGAAGTAAGAAGACATTTCATTAATATTGACCTTGCATTTCAAGCATTGATGTCCGTTAAGTTGTGTAACCATTTTACGTCGCTAGTTTTTACGACATTTCCAAGTGCCCTCCATACCCCAGTCCTGGCGCTCCAGTTTCTCTAGATAATTGCAGTGATGCAAAGGTAGTCATGTTACCACACATCAGTTACGGTATTTCGTTCACTTCCTTTGAGCTATCATGAAAAGATTACTTTTAGATTCGTATTTTTTGTCTTCTGAAATTTGAAAATCAGTATTACTGTTTTGGCATAAACGTAAACCAAATGCATTATTTTTATTACATAAAAAGTGATTTGCATAGGTCTTCACATCATGAGAAACGGGTAATACGCTAACAGCTTGCACTTTATTACTTACAACAATCTGATATGTTAATTAGGATAATATGATGTATAAATAAAATATTTAGGCAATAATGCGCATATTAAAGACAAATTCACAATAGATTCCAATTCATTGGAAATTAAACAAACAAATCCTGCCGAGCAAAAAACTGAGCGAGAACTAAAATAAATTTGATAGAGAAAACCCGAAAAAATTACGTCCTCAAAATTCAGTTTTCTATCATCTAAGGTACGAGAAGCTGCTAGCGGTTGGGTGTTATTAACTATTTCATTGCTACTCACCGTGAAATTGTTGAATAAGTTTCGCAAGCGTTCATTGCAGACAATGTGACCAGTACGTGGTCATCCATTCGCTAGGTCCTGGGAGGTCTACCCGTTTTTCAGGCTAACTTCAAACGTTTAATATCTGTTATGCCCGCTTAATAAGTGACGAACGGCACTTTTAGAACTACGAGTGAAATCAACTATAGCTAAAATGTCTGGGTGAAAATAATTATTCTATTTTGTGGCGTGTAAACGTTATCATGTTGCTTTATAAATTTCGAATTATGAGTATATATATGGATCAATTCATTATTACCATGCATGATTTTCCGAATGATTATGCTCAAACATTTGTCATCGTTATATTACCTAACTGTATTTATCTTACCATCTATCATTATCATTTTACATTATACCAGAAAAATACTTGTGCCAATATGAAGCAGTTAGCTTTGTGCTGCTTTGGTATGCACTTTACTTGCATTAATTAATCGCTACGTGACAAAACTGCATATCAAAATCAATTTGCATTGTCTTTGGCTTAATTGTATTCAATTAGCTTAAATTTATTCTATATTCTCATCGCCGATGCAAGCAATGATCTTTCTCTTGATATGAACCTGCTCACTTATTACTCAATTCCAATATTTGCATCAAAACCTGCATGTTCGTCAATTCCCGCGCGCAATTCGCAGATGATAAAGGAAAATGATAAATTTGTTAACAGCTTTGATGAACAAAATTAGTCCGATCATCAGGTCAGAAAATTATATGCTACGAATTTCCCAATTTGTTAAAATTGTCTTATTTTCCAAATTTATTCTTGCCACGCTAAGGAAGTATGAAAGCAGCGTCCTAAAATATATCAAGCGAAATTCCAGCAAGCCATTTCATTCAATCCAGAAAATCCTGCCCCAGGCGACAAAAAGTGGAGGCTATCAGCACGTGGACTTCCGTGCGGCGCTGTCTGTTATAGATCACGGCAGACACTGCGCCGGCAACGGAAAATTGTACAAGGAAAAAAAATTTTTCGGTGATGACATAGAGATTGAAGTAATAGAATAGATTTTATTTTTATTTTAATTTAAGCTCGAAAGCGTATAATGAATGTAAATTTGATTCAATTTTATTATTTGCAATAGTAAAAAACGTAAAATTGTACAAGAAAATTTTTTTTTTCGGTGATGACATAGAGCTTGAAGTAATAGAATAGATATTTATTTTTTTAATTTAAGCTGGGAAGCGTATAATTAATGTAAATTTGATTCAATTTTATTATTTGCAATAGAACTTTAAACTTATATGTAAAATGTAAATTGCAGTTTGAAGGTAATAACCATTTGTTATCATACAATTTCAAATCGTTGCTTTAAAAATTAACATGGTTCTAAAATTATAGGCATCTTTAAGAAGGAATTTCGGCGCAGTTGATATGCACGTCAAGTTGAAACCCTCCCAGTGGCTCTCAACTGGACCCTGGTGAACGGTTAACCTTGTGATGGTGGTAGTGACGATCAGTGGTGGTCGTCTGGATGCTGGTGAGGAGTGGCGATCGTGATGATGGTAGTGGGGAGTGGTGGTGATGGCTGTTATGCGTGGAAACGATACTGAAGTTTTTGTAAAAGAAGATATAGGAAGGTACGAGTAAATTTCTTTGAATGTGTAAGAAGTGGTGATGATCAGAGTTTAAAATTTGTTGTTAATCTTGATGGCAAAATTTGGTAAAATTTGGTGCTGTACGCGATGATGATAATGAATATGGTTGAATGAGTGGCAATTGCCTATTGTCAATAAATTATTAAGTTCGTAGAGTGAACGAACCCTTCGAACCTTCCCTCGTCGGTACCGATGAAATGACTATTCAAAATTACTAGTACGTTGCTGATCTGTTTATTATATTTTAAACGTTAAATCCCTAGAAACATTTTACTTACATTTTAGAAACATTTTACTTACTGAAGCATTCACATATTCAGGAAGACACTTTTCTCTTCCTAGTGACATTCAACATATAGAAAGCTTTTTCCAGGGGTGGGCAAGAGATCAAATGAGTTCACATGTTCTTAACCTTCAACCTGCAATGGCCACTATATTATTATTAAGCTTTAAGCGGGTAAATTCAGACAGGAATTTCTTTCCTTCGTTGTGGAGATCTGTGTCCCCATCTTAATTTCCGGAGACATATAGTTTAAACTTTGGTATTACATGACTTCATCAGTTAAATCACTATTTACATTTAGTTTTATTTCAGTCTTTGTTAATCAAAATTAATGAGATTCATGGTTTGTATTTTATACAACTAGAAATTTGTAAATAATTTCCCATGTTTTTGGTTGGCTGACTTCATCCTGAGCTTGCGCGTTCCCTTCTTACATTTCTCACAATTGCGTTAATTTCCCGTATGATGAATGACGACCGCCAACAACGGACGGCGGCACAGATGTTATAGTCGGAGTCCTGTTATAAACGGAAGGCCGAGATCATCTCTGATCACAATAAATTGACAACGGTACTTTACCGTCACGTTAACTGCACACGCGTCATCAGAATTTTCAATAACCGAAATATATGGCAAGGAGTCATAGTGAAGAATAAAAATTCAAAAAGAGAATTTTAAATAACTTGAGAGTTTGCTGCAGCAAAGCGGGAAAAGGAAAGTCAATGAGCCCGCAGACATCAGTGCGAATTGAAACATAAATACAAACAAGCTACGATTAACAATTCAGTGGTGCAAAATGTTGCCGGTGGAGTGAGAAGAAGATGCGAGAAAAAAACTAACTGTGATATAATGGATGGATTGAGACGACTCAGGCTTTCATTCAAATCGATGAAAGATGAACTGCCCATTTAACGTTTGTAATGAATATTTGCACGTAAAGTAGTCTACAAAATTATTGATTCATCGACAATGAAAAATATTTTATCTGCTTTTCGATTCAGTGAAATTAGAAGAGATAGGAAAATATTTACGATACATCAGCAACGGAATTTAATGCAAGTAAAATATACAAAACGCGCTCACCTGATTCTTCTCCGAATGCAAAATTGAGTTAAAATTTCATAGACTAAACTGATACGATGCAACATTCTTAACAACAACATACCACACATGATTTCAACCTGTTACATTATCGCGGGATCAGGTGGTAACAAAACCAAATATTAAACACGAGACATGAAACTTTTCCCCCGCGTATCTGATGAAAATTCCATTAATCGAAGCTGACTCAGCAGTTTCGCTGCCGTATGAGCTTCAGTTTTTGCAAGAATGGATGA